CCCTAAACCCTAAACCCTACACCCTAAACCGAGTTGATGTTCGGCCGAAGTCGAGTCCATCGGAGCCAGATCCTAGGTACTTCACGCGACCGATTGTGTCCGAAGGCTCCCTGGCACCTCAGGAGCTGTGTTGATAGGGTTTAGGGTTTAGGGTTTAGGGTTTATGGGTTTAGGGTTTAGGGGTTTAGGGTTTAGGGTTTGAGGGTTTGGGGGGTTCAGGGGTTTGAGGGTTTGGGGGCTTAGGGGTTTAGGGTTCAGGGGTTTAGGTTTTGGGGTCTAGGGTTTCGCTCAGCAAAGGCGTTTCGACTGCTTCACACGTTTCAGAAGTACATGGGGCAGAGGGGTCTGTAGGTCTCGTCGGTGTGTATTTCCATGAACCGGTTTCCGCCAAGCGCAGGCTGTCGAGAACGCACGTCACACAGGACTTTTCAATGTTCAGGCGACCGCCTCCGTGTGATGAAGCCTAAAAACCATTCAGATTCCTCAAAGCGCCTAACCTTAAAACCTGATAGCAAGAGTCTAGGACTTCGGGAAACCATCCGCACACTAAGCCCCTGAATCCTAAGACGGCCTAAAACTTCCACACCCCTAAAACCCCTAAACCCTAAACATTGAGTAGGGGTTTTAGGGTTTAGGGTTTTGGGGTTTAGGGTTTCGGGGTTTAGGGTTTATACTGCCCAGGTACGGTGGTGGGCTATCCGCTTCCCCGCACCAGCTCCAGCTACTCTGTGGACGCTGGCTGCCAGGTAGCCGGACTTTGCGGGTTTAGGGTTTAGGGTTTAGGGTTTCGACCTAGGGCTTCAGGGTTTTCTGGCTTTGGGCTGTCGGGGATGAGGGCGCGCAACTGAAGAAGCTTGCAGAGCGATGTCGCAAGTAACCGGCCCCCAAACCCTGAACCCCTAAACCCCAAACCCTAAATTTCTAAACCCTAAACCCTAAACCCTAAACCCTAAACCCCTAAACCCTAAACCCCAAACCCTAAACCCTAAACCCCAAACCCTAAATTTGTAAACCCTAAAGCCCTAGACCTCCGAGCCTTGCTTCGGCCCTGTGCAGCTCCTAAAGTACAACTTGACCATCGACGCCCAGACGGGCGCTTTGAAGCTGGTCGATGGCGCCCTCCCCAAGCAGATGAGGGTTTAGGGCTTTGGGGCGATTCAGGGCTTACGCGATTTAGGGTTTGGGTTTGAGGGTTCAAGGTTTAGGGCTCAGGGTTTAGGATGTCCCCAAGCAAGAAAGCTTCAGGGGTCAGGCGGTTTCGGGTTTAGGGGGTGGGGGGTTACTGGGTCTAGGGTCAGGGTTTAAGGAAATTGTCAGGGTTTAGGGTTTCGGGTTTCGGTTTCAGGGTCTAGGGCTTAAGATGGTTTAGGCGGTTTAGGGTTGAGGCTGTGTAGGCGGTTAAGCGCTTGGTCTAGGATGTAGCGCTCGGAAGTTCTGGGTTGTTGCACGGAAGGAAGAAGATATTACGATGATCCTTACAAGGACTTACCCTGAAATTTAAACGCTAAACCCTGCAAAACCTGAAGAAGCAGGGGAGCCTCCCAAGTTCTGCGGGGTCATCAGCACGTCAGCCAGTGCTCACGGAGGCTTTGGGGCAGTAGAATAGGAGTCCATGCTCTGAGGCTTCTCAGCCTAGAGACCTCGGATCCCCAACTTCATATATACCTAACCCCGAACCTCTAAACCCCAAACACCTCATCCCGTAAAAAAAACCCGAAAGTCCTGAACCTTAAGCCCCAAACCCTATTGAGGCTGCAAGAGTGTTGGCTGTGGGTACGGCCTGGATAAGCCGCTCGACGAAGGGCTTAGGGTTCAGCGTTTAGGGTTTCGGGTTTTAGCTTTAGGCTGTTTCCCAGAGGTTTTCCAAGTCAGGTTGGGCAACTTTCCCCATCATTTTTCTAAGGGCCTAGGGCTTTCGGGTTAACCCTCAGGTCCCACAAAGAATCTTGAGTTGGAGGGCATGAGAATTGTAAACGCTTGCGCGCGCCGCCTCGGCAGAGCATGCAGTATGTGGAGATGACACCTGGAGGCCCTCTAGAAGGGTCCTGTCCCGGAAGCCGACGGGGGGGGGGGGGGGGGGGGGGGGGGGGGGGGGGGGGGGGGGGGGGGGGTGGGGGCAGGGGTTTGAGGGTTTGGCGCGGAGGTTTCGCACCCATGCACTGAAGGGTTTCGGGCTTAGGGGTTGAGGGCTTCAGGGTTTAGGGTTGAGGGTTTAAGGTTTAGGGTTCGGGGTTTAGGGTTTAGGTTTTTGGGGGGTTCTTTGGGTCCAAGACACTAAACCGCAAGACCGCCAAAGACCTAACCCTAAGCCCTCCAACGAAGACCCGATCTGCTCGTCCAAGCATCTTGAAACCCTAACCCCGAAATGCCAAACCCTAAACGCCAAACCCTCAACGCCAAACCCTGAAACCCTAAACCCTGAACCCTGAACCTTAAGCCCTAAGCCCTAACCTAGCGGCGGTTGGCCCAAGGCCCTTCAAGCTGACCTGCACCCTCACGGCCTTCCAGGCAGCTCAGGGGGGGCCCGGAGGTTCCTTAACGCTTTAGGGGTTTAGGCTTTAGAGTTTAGGGTTTAGGGTTTAGGGGTTTAGGGTTCAGGGTTTTAGGTCTAGGGGTTTAGGGTTTAGGGTTTAGGGCTTAGGGCTTAGGGTTACGGGCTCCAGAATTCAAAGCTGTGCTGACGATGGTGCTACCGTCATTTTCCCAACTACTACGGCGACTGCCGACTGCTGCCACGAAGAAATCTTAGTGCTCGGCTGGTCGAAGCCGTGTGCCCTATGCCTTCAAGCCCTAAACCCTAAACCCCAAACCCTAAACCCTAAACCCTAAGCGCTAAACCCTAACCCTTAGACCCTAAACCCTAAACCCTAAACCCTAAACCCTAAACCCTAAACCCTAAACCCTAAACCCTAAACCCTAAGCGCCTTAAGCGCTATAACTGACTAAGGGGCCAAGGCTCGAAAAAGCCCCCCCCCCCCCCAAAACCAAGGGCGCTGCCCCAGGGCTCCAACGCAAAGTCCCTTGAAGCTTTCCCGGTTTCTCTGAGCCATGCGCCCTTTTAGGGTTTAGGGTTTAGGGTTTGGGGTTTAGGGTTTAGGGTTTTAGGGCTCCGGGGTAATGCCCTGTGTCTCCCTTCGTCGAGCTATTACGACAGAGATTCGATGCCAAGCGCCGAAATTCCCAGGGGCAGCTCAACTCTTCGGCTCTGATTCAAGTCTCAGGCCATGGGGGCTTAAATGGGCGTTTAGGGTTTAGGGTTTAGGGTTGAGGGTTTAGGGTTTAGGGTTTAGGGTTTAAGGTTCAGGGTTTAGGGTTGAGGGTCTAGGGTTAAGGGTCGACTGTCCGATTCTGTGGCTTTGTGGTGTAGTTGGGTGATCATCCTGTGCTGGATCGTGCTTTGCTTGGACCTTCGTGGTAGGGATGGGATGGGGTTTGAGGGGTTGGGTCGGTTCGGTGATCCTTCGTCTATATTAAACCCTGAACCCTAAATCCTAAAACCTAAACCCCCCGGTTGTAGGGTTTGCCTGGGTCCTGCTTTTTGCGGCATAGTCGCCGGAGTGCCTGTGGATTGACTGGTTATTTAGTGGCTGATTGAGAGAGCATACCCTTATTTTGCTGAAAGAGACTGTGCAGGTTACCTATTCATTTGTAGTTCGCTACTTCCCAACTATTGCTAGAACAAGCCCTGAGGGCCCTGAACCCTAAACCGACCCTAGTTCGCTACTTCCCAACTATTACTATATCAAGCCCTAAGCCCTAACCGACCCTAAACATCCCTCGGCCCTAAAGCAGTAAAGCCCACAGATAAGGTTCTCTCCAAGGGCAGGGGGGTTCGGGGTTAGTGGGTGCTTTCGCCCAAGCCGGGGCCATTGCTGGGATTTAGGGCTTACTTAGGGTTTAGGGTTTAGGGTTTAGGGTTTAGGGTTAGGGTTTAGGGTTTAGGGTTTAGGGTTTAGGGTTTAGGAATACGCTCTTACTGCTCTTTGGGGCCCCAATGCCTATGGTTGGGTTCCCTGCATAATCCCCCCCCCCCAAGAACCCATAGGTTCAAAAAGCCTAAAACCCTCCCCAAGCCCCAAAGCCTAGACCCAAATCCCAGAACCTGAAACCCAAGCAAGGGGACATCGACTGGGCTTATGAGAGCTCCGTGCTGGTGGCCACGAACACGCGACGCACTTTCCCCGTCGTCGTGGCTCCAAATCGTTCGCCCTTCGGATCGTTTAGGGCATAGGCTTCAGGGTATCCAGCAGCAGGGGCCCCCTTTCTGGCCCTTTCCTCGCTTCAGCCGTACTCTTATCCGAAGCAACTGCTCTCCAAAGCAATGCTGGGATCCGCCCCCCCCCCCCCCCCCCCCCCTCCCGGAAACCATCCTGCAGAATTGGTGTGTGGGTTTAGGGTTGCCGGCTTTAGTTCTTTGGGGTCAGGGGTTGCGTTGCTACCTTGCCCAACACAATTGGGGCGCATTGCGTCATTCCCCCAGGCTGACTACGGCCCAGACAAGTTTAGCAGGCTGGGGGGACCGGCTCAGTAATCAGCACCCAACGTAACATAACCACCTCCGACGCCTTGCCTCAACTCTCAGCCGAAAAAGCCGCCATTGCAAGCGGAAAAAGGGACCGCGCACCAAGGATAAATCCTTAAACCCCAAACCTATAAGCCGGAAACCCTCGAAACCCTTTAAACCTTACAGTAAGCCCCCAACCCTTGAATACCCTATACCCTAAACCCTTGCTAGGCCAGTGGTACCCTTTTGCCCTTCTTTTTGTTCAAGCTACCCTTATAGAGCAACCAACCCCAAACAGGGTTCCTTTATTGAAACTGGTTGCTTTGCCTACCAAGAACCCTCCAAACCCTAACCTCAAGCCCCAAGCCCCAAGCCCCAAGCCCCAAGCCCCAAGCCCCAAGCCCCAAGCCCCAAGCCCCAAGCCCTAAGCCCTAAGCCCTAAACCCTAAACCCCTCCAAAGCTGAGCCCAGGTTTGACCAAGTACAGGTCAACTGC